CACACAAATCACCTCGGGTAGCTCTGCAATCTCCCTCTCCCCCTACACCCACACACACACCTGCCTCCCACAAAAGAACAGGTGAGTCTGTGTTCTACCCGGGCTTTCAGATAAATCAATAATCTGTGTCCTCAACAGGTGTACTGATTGAGCAATTTCAGAACAAGGCATGTAAGGAAGATACTAGTGGGAAAAGACAGCGCTGGCCCCACAGAAATTTCTATTTATACCCCTCCTAAAGCAGCACCCAGCAGGCACTCATTTCATGAAAAAGCAAAGGCATTGTGCTACTGACATCAAGTGGGATAACACTTCCTGTCCTGAGCTGTATCACTTTGCTACTAGCCTGGCCATAAAAATGTCCCTCCAAATAGGGCTAAGCTGCTCTAGCTACACACGAAAGCTCCCGAAAAATTATAGTGAGTGCCTTCGTTACCTAGACAAGCCAAAAAAATCTTAGGGTTGTAAGGGCACTTGAAAATCATCCCATCTTCCTTGCCCTCCCCCTGATTTTACAGGTGAGGAAGCTAAGACCAGGTCATGTGGAAAAATGACCAAGCAGCCCACAGGCCACACACCCCAGCAGCGGCTGACTCAGACCTTGAGCCCAGGCCCAAGACCTCCATGGTGCCCGCTCCAGCCCCCCACAAACAGCAATTACTTCAACACAAAACATTCGGTCTGTAAGAAAAGCGTGTATTCATACCCTGCAGAGATGAAGATCTATTTTCCAGGACGTGCCATTTCCATACTCTGGGGGAAGAAATGAGGTATATTGGGAGAATCATTCTGTGTCAACTCTCAGGGCCTCCTCTGTTCAGATGCCTTTCATGGCGTGGCAATTACAGAAGCCATTTCCATGAGTCTGGGGTACTTCCTGGACACCACGGTCAAACCTTTCTTCCCATCTGTATCTTTCTCCAAATGGCCTATTTTCATTGTCTTGGTTCAGAAGACGTGGAAAGACACCTACGGTAGAGATGGCCTGAATGGCCTCGGCAAACACTCCACAGAAATGTTTACGACTCCTAATTGCTGTTACACAACATTTATTTGATCCCACATTAATCTGGCGTGCCAGGCAGGGATCTGAAAACACGGCGTTGATTAATAAACAGTAATTAAGCCTTCCCACCCTGTTCAGAGCCAGGGTTAGGGCCTGGGATTCCCCTTCAAAGAGAGCCACACTGAAGGTCTTAAGTTGAGAGGTTTCTCCTGAGGCCTGACTCAGGGGTGCATCAGAAAACCCAGGTCCAAACCACCCAGTGGGTTCCTTCCCCTATGCTGTCCTTTGCTTCCTCCAGCTCTCTTCCCACCCTTCTGGGCCACCCTTCACTCCCATTTGGCTCCCACCCTCCAGCAAGGTCCCGCTGACCACATGGTCTAAATGGCTTGACCCTCTGGCCTTCAACAGTAGAGGCTGTGCTCTGCATGGAAAGGTACCGGGATCAGGCAGCCAGATATCAGATTACAAGGTTTTGCCAAGTGAGTGCTCCTTGAGCCTTCACAGTGCTTTATTTTAAAAGCATTTTAACACTGTGGGCTGACAATCTGGCTCCTGGCAGGGCTTTCCTGCCTTAGGATCCTAAAGGCATATGGTAAAAGTGTGACAAACAAAATGATTGGGCCTGCAGAGTACCTTGGAAATGAATCCCAATTGTAACTGTTGACACCCTTGACGGATGCTAGGTTCCACTGCAAACAAGTGTAGAGCCCAAAGCCAAAATCCACACTAACAGAACCAGAAGTGACCTCTATTTAGACCCAGGTCAGGATCACTGGACTTGGCCCAGGGCGAAACAGGCATCCTGAACTTTGGACCACTTCTAGAAAGTCCAAGAGACAAAAAGGTGTTGATAACCCAAAAGCTTTCACATGTTACATGTTTGGATAATTAGGTTTTCTTTACCTTAATATGAAAATTAGCTTTCCAAATACTAAAGTTAGTCAAGTTATTATTAACATTTGCTGTTACATAATCCACAGAGGGGCTCAACCCCACATGCATAATCACAAGTTGTTCTGCCTAGATTCGAATATCAGTTCCACTTAATAAGTAGCTCCGGTTTGGCAGGTCACATAATTTCTCTGCTGCCTCAGTTTTTCCATCTGCCAAGTGGGGATAAAAGTAAATACCCACTTTATCAGGTTAACGTGAGAGTAAAATGAGTTACTATACCTAAGGCACTTAGAATAAGAACTGGTTCTTGGTATTCATTTAATAAAGTCACCTACCTTTACTACTACTACTATTATTATTATCATGCTATTGAGTGAAAACATCTTTTTTTACATCTTTATTGGAGTATAATTGCTTTACAATGGTGTGTTGGTTTCTGCTTTATAACAAAGTGAATCAGTTATACATACATATGTTCCCATATCTCTTCCCTCTTGCGTCTCCCTCCCTCCCACCCTCCCTATCCCACCCCTCCAGGCGGTCACAAAGCACCGAGCTGATCTCCCTGTGCTATGCGGCTGCTTCCCACTAGCTATCTACCTTACGTTGGGTAGTGTATATATGTCCATGCCTCTCTCTCACTTTGTCACAGCTCACCCTTCCCCCTCCCCATATCCTCAAGTCTGTTCTCTAGTAGGTCTGTGTCTTTATTCCTGTCTTACCCCAAGGTTCTTCATGACATTTTTTTTTTCTTAAATTCCATATATATGTGTTAGCATATGGTATTTGTCTTCCTCTTTCTGACTTACTTCACTCTGTATGACAGACTCCAGGTCTATCCACCTCATTACAAGTAGCTCAATTTCATTCCTTTTTACGGCTGAGTAATATTCCATTGTATATATGTGCCACATCTTCTTTATCCATTCATCTGTTGATGGACACTTAGGTTGCTTCCATGTCCTGGCTATTGTAAATAGAGCTGCAATGAACGTTTTGGTACATGACACTCTTTGAATTATGGTTTTCTCAGGGTATATGCCCAGTAGTGGGATTGCTAGGTCAGAGTGAAAACATTTTGATCATTTTATTGTTTGTGTTTCACTCTTCTAGAACCCCTGTCAGCACTACAGGACCACAGTGGGAAGCTTCTTTTCAAAGAATTCTTTCCAAGACAGAAGGCAAAGCTTTGGAACCCTAACAGAGACCCATCCCCAGGTTCACGGGGAATGTGGCCAGAGTCCAAGAGGTTGTTCTGCAAGAGCTGTACAGTCTCTCCGTCACCATGAGTCAAGTCCCCATCCTGCCCAGAGGTGGAACCACCAGCAGTCATACCCAAACAGCACCTGCCACAGCAGGAGCCACTCAATGAAGTCACAGCTCATGGGGCTGAGCAGCCCAGCCACGGCAGAGGGGCAGCTACCCGGCTCTCCAGGGAGCAGGAGGCAGTCAGGGGAGCTGCATCCGTCTGCTTGGAGGCTGCAGGCAGAGGGACCAGCTCGAGGGGCTCGGGTGGAGATGCGCCTGGCAAAGGAACGCATTCTCTCATGATGGGACTCCACTCTCTCCCATCCCCTCATCTGAGGCGATTGGTCTCAGGATGACCAGCAAGCACACGCTTCTTCTTTCTCGGCAACTTAAGCACCTCAGAGTCACTACCCCAAACCCAAATAAACCTCAATGATAATTTTCTAAAGTTATGGACAAAACCTCACCCCTTAACAGGCCATGCTAAGAGGCAGCCCCAAGCCCCTCTCTATGAAAAGGCTAAGTCCTTTCTGTTTTTTTCCAACAGACAGAAAGTCTACACCCACAGGTAGACTGTGTTCCTGAAGCGAGCACAACGGCTGGGAGACCCTGTTCTCATCCTCGGCAAGTGTGCGTCCCCAGGATCAGAAGCATGGCAAGGATGCTACCTTCACAACTTGGGCTCTGGGGGACCACTGCAGATGCGCGGCTCGGGGAGGGAAAATGACCAAACAACTCAGTGGACCCTGAGTATGGGACAGAAAACAATCTGGGTTTGAAAATGTGGTCCTGGAAAAGCAAACCAACCACAATAGCAAGTAAAGGGGGGTTAAGGAAGACAGGAGAGAAGAGCACACTGATTTCTCTTATGAAACACCTCGTCTATCTCTTCCCAGCCTAATTAACACCTCCATGAACCCCTGCAAAACGTTCGGTTCATACAGCACATATGTGTATGAATGTATATGCTGACAGATACCGATCACACGAGGGGAGAAAATAACTCCAATTTCAGACTCTTCCAGCAGTGCCCGATTCTCTTTCACTATCAGCCTCCCTACCTATTCTGAGGCACTCCACAACAAAACAAACAAAAACCAACTCCTGGGCAGAAAAGGGAACAGCAGCTGAATGGAGCAGCACATGCTCGGAGCCTTCCTGCCATGGACTTCTGGTTACTCCGCCACCAGCCTCGGACTACACACAGCCCTAGAGAGAAACCACCGGTACAGCGACCCTCGCAGACCCTCCCTTGGCGACCCGCACCCCAGCGTGTGCTGCCGAGCCTGGTGAAATGGACAGACGCTCAGGTAAGGCTCTGCCCACACGTGACCCTGAACACTGCGAAATTCCTCCCTTCCTTAATTGCGCGGTCATCCAAAGTCTTGCCTACACCTAGTACGTGAAGATGTCAATTCTATAAGGATACATAACGGAAGGACAGAAATGGGAATGCCTGGAGCCCGATTTTCTCGTGACCACGTCTCTCGCGGACACGGTGCACCCATGCACACGGTGAGTAGACGCACGCAGCCAGTAAACAGGAATATCCACCATGCTCAGCCCACAGTCACGCATGGGGAGAAGTCGAGAGGGCGGCGGTGTCAGGGAAGTGAAAAGTCGCCCGCCTGCGACTGACCCCTAAAGCCCAGAGCCTCCCCCGCCCAGGAGCGGCTCCCACCCGGGCCCGCGGGGCGACCCACGCGGCCGGCACGCAGGGGGGCACGCAGAGCCGAGAACTGGACAATGAGGACGCGGCGACCCGCCGGTTCCTACCGCGGTGGCAGCGGGAGCCACCTCTGCACCCGCGGCCGCTGCCATCTCCACCCTCTACTCCCCGGTCCCCACTTACGTTCCGAGGGTCTCCTTAAACTCGAAAATTTTCTTGATGTCTTCAGCTTGCTTTTTCCAGGAGGAGCTGCTCTCGCCGTTCTCCCGGGCCATGGCAGACGAGGCCGGCGTGCGCAGAGGGCGGCGAGGCGGAGCGGCCGGGGACGCGGGGGTCCGGGGTGGGCGCGCGAGGAGGGGACGCCCGAGCGCGGGGGCGCGGGGGGGGCGGTGGCGCGGGCGCAGCGGGGGCGGGGGCGGCGGCGAGCCGGTCCGGGAGGGCTGGGCTGGCGGCGCGGGGATGCTCGGCGCGGGAGCCGGAGGAGACTTTGTGCTGCGGCAGAGCTTCCTCTTCTGCAGTTTCCTCTTTCACTCTCGCCGCCGCCGCGGTCCCTCCCTGGCTCTTATTTCTGCGCGTCTCGGGCACAGACTTCCTGCCGCCGCCGCCACTCGCCCGGCTCCTTTGCAGCCGGCTGCCAGCCTCACTTTCTGCTACTTTCTTGCCTCCCTTCTCCTCCCTCCCAGCCGCCCGCCCTGCTCCCTCCCTCCTCCTCCTCCCGCGGGCTCCCCGCCCTCCCCGCGCGCCCCGGCCGCCTCCCGCCTCCCCGCCTCCCGCGTGCTGCCGCCTTCGGGGATGTCCTGCTCCCCGGGAACGCCGTGCCCCGGACGCCGGGGCACCGCCGTCGCCGCCCGGCTACGCTCCCCGCCGCCGCGCGCGCCCTGGAGCCCAGGAGAGGGCAGGTGCGGGGGACCCAGGCAGGTGCGGGCGCCCAGGCGCGTGCTGGAGGACCCCGGCCCCCCGGGGCTGCTTTATTAATTCCGCAAAGTCAAGTCTCGGGGGCGCGAGGGCTTTCCTCTCCGGCTGCGGGAGAGGGCGCCTCTGCGCTGCGCTAGGACGCTGCAGGGCGGGGGCGAGGGCGAGGGCGGGGGCGCGAGGCCACCCGGATGCCGGGCGCCGAGGGCGGGGGCGTCCTCCCCGGGCGTCCGGGCGCTGCGCGGGGTCGAACGCGGGGGCTGGTTGTTATGGCGACGGGAGGCGGCGGCCGCGGGGATGCTGGCGGAGGTGGGCGTTGACTCGGGCGGCGCGGCGCCCGCCAGCGGCTGGCGTTCCCCGAGCCTGCCTGGCCCTCCCGACTGGGCGACTGGAGCTAATTCGCATTGCACCAAAATCGGCGCCCGTGTCCAATTATGGCTGGGGGAGGGGGCCTCGCGGCCGGGGACGCGCAAGACGTGCCAGGCGCTGCCTCGTTTTCTTTTTGGGAGCTTAACTCCCAGGGTTATCTGGCGGCCGAGCGGCGGGTGGATTCAGGGCCGGGCTCTGTGCGCCTCCCAGGCTGCTTTGGCCCCAGGGCTGGAGCGGCCTTCGCTCCAGCTCGGCCCCTCCTGGTTTCTCCCTCTCTTCGCCGGCCGAAACCCAGAGACTTCGAGCAAAGTGAACCTCTGCCCCACGCTCTCTTCGCCAGGGGGGCCGCCCCTCCTCAGCCCAGCCGCAGTGGGTTTAGTAGGGCACGCTGTGCCAGGGAAGGTACCTGGAAATAGCCTTTCTAACAGATTGGAGAAACGCACCCAGAGTTCCCTCTGGCCTCCCATTTCGGAGGCGCATTCTGACTGCCCATCCCTCTCCCGTGTCCACCTGTCAGAGGGCGATCCACGTACAGACGCCCATTCCCAACCTGCAGGGACTACCTCGTGTTTCGAAAAATTGTAGTTTTCTTCGTATCAAGACTCTCTCTTCCTGAGGGCCCCTCGGCTGAGTTGGGTAAACAGCCCTGTGTCTTGATTGGTGACACCTGTCCCATTTTCCCAGGACTGTTCCAATTTCACTGTAAAAGGGGGAAAAAAATATTCTACTCCCTGAAGAGGAAACTTACCCAGCACCTTCTTCCTCGTTCTGACAGGCTGGACGCAGGCCGACTGCTCTCCCAGAAGCCGTCTGTACCCACCCCACACTGCACCCTGCCGCCCTCCACCTTTTTTCCCTGACCCCAAGGAGGTGGAAAGATAATCTGGCCTGCCCATTCCTCCACATCTGCGTGCTGGATTCCGCCTTTCAGGGGCTGTTAGCTTAAGGCTCTCCAGGCTGAGGAGAGCAAACGGGGGATTTGGCTGTTAGAAACTGACTAAACTGACAAACCCAACTTCCAAGATGGATGACTAGGGAACCTCTCTCAAAGTTGGGGCACGTCACCAAAAGCAAACAGCACCACTTCAAGAAGGAATACATTTGCACAGCATTGTAAATCAACTATACTTCAATAAAAAAAAGTTTTTTTGAAGAACTATACTATCGTTTATTGGGGTCAAAGGTTAGGCAATATGAAGAGTAGGAACCAGGTGTGACTAAGATCCCAGCGGACACTCCCATGCCCGCCATATGCATCTGCTCATCTTTTTTCCCCTTCCCCTTCCTTCCACTCCTCCTTATCCCGTTCTTTCCTCTCTATTTCATCCTTGCTTCTAGCCTATGGATCAAACACCGGAGCTCATGATAACAATTCTCAGTCTCAGCTATTGTCCCCGGAAATAAAGAAGTGGTGATGCTAAAGAAGTTTTCTACGGTTGGAACTGTAATGGGGAGTTTTCTTTCTATTCCAAATTTTCCATAATGATGTTCATTCAGAGCATTATCAAGTTATCCTCAGCTGGACTAGGTCCTAGAGAAAAGACTCAAACTAATGGGGAGTTGAAGAGGCCAAGCCCAAAAGCATGGATCCCATGACCCAAAGTTGGAGGTGGAAATGTCAAAGACAATTCAGTCTGGCTTTAGCACGGTCATTCCTCCCTTACTGGACACCATGTAAAGTAAGAGATCTTGACCTTGGAAACTGCGATAGAGAACAAAGCCATCATTCCCAAAGAATGGTTAAACCGTAGCCTGTTAAGGGCTTAATCCTGTTTGCTTGAGGACTCTTGCTTGGACTGTTCTCCAGTAACAGACCATTTCTTCCAGCTGCCGTGTTTTTCTAGCGGTGGTGGCTGCCACACTCTTCTTCCCACCCCAACTCCGTTGTCAATCAGTTGTTACCTATCGGTCAAAAGCTGTCTGTTCCCTAACAGTTCCACTCCAGAGAGCTCTGCAGATATTCCAGATTACTAAAGTTTAGGTCCCAAGTCTTTATATTTCCTTTAAAGCCTTTAATTTTTTTAATTAAAGGACCCAAAGAACACGTTGTTTAATAACCCATCATTAAAGACTTACTAACGTTATGCCCATCAAACTCTTTTCCAGCCAACAGTCCTGCCAGTAGGTCAGGTTTGTGTGGCCCAGGTTCAGAGCTGGGCAGGTGGTGTGGGGGAAATATATACTATCTAAAACAAATGCATAGATTATAATAGAATATAGATTAATATATTCTATTATAATCTATAATAGATTATAGAATAGAATAGATTATAGATTATCTATAATCTATTATAGATATATAGATTATAGATCTATATAGATTATATAGATATATAGATTATAGATCTATATAGATTATATAGATATATAGATATATAGATTATAGATCTATATAGATTATATAGATAGAATAGATTATAGATAGAATAGATTATAGATTATCTATAATCTATAATAGATTATAGAAAATTTCTAAATTACCTCTATTCAGCCTTTAGTACCTAAAGTGATAAACCAGGAAGGCAAGCTGGGGTGGTAGACAGAACTAGAAATCCAGGAAAATAGGCTCAAGTCCCAAGTCTGTTGCTAAGTTTGTGTTAAAGACACTTTACCTCCCTGAGCCTATAAAACCCAGGTTGTAGGAGGGAGAGTGGTAAGTAAACTCAATGATTTTAGGATTTGTAAATCAGTGTGTTTTTTTCATATGATGAAAAGCTTATCCAGAATATCATTACTCTTTGAAAACTTAAGAACTCTTTGGTCTAAAAATGTATTAATCAAAAATGTTTTATTAGGTGACTTCATGTAGATACACTCTACACGAAAAACTTATTTAAATCTCAGCCAGAAATATTGCAGGGAAAAATGTTTCATTATTAGACTTCCCTGGCGGTCCAGTGGTTAAGACTCTGCACTTCCACTGCGGGGGGTGTGGGTTGGATCCCTAGTTGGGGAACTAAGATCCTGAATGCCGCACTGCACAGCCAAAAAATAAAAAGTTGGGCATCATCCTTTCCATCAAATGGATTGTGTGACAACACTCTGATGCTAGAGGCCTCTTCTCACAAACCCTGTGAAAGTTTGGTTATCTTAAATTGTGTATGTAGTTCCTAGAAATAGTTAAAGAGAGTTACTAGGCCATATTTCCTAGCAAGGCACACCTCAGAGATACTGCAGGTTTGGTTCCAGACCATCGCAATAAAGTGAGTCTCACAAGTTTTTTGGTTTCGCATTGCATGTAAAAGTTATGTTTACACTGTCCTGTAGCCTATTAAGTGTGCAATAGCGTATGTCTAAAAAAAATGTATGGACCTTCATTAAAAAAAAGATGCCAATAGATTTGCTTGACACAGGGTTGCCACAAATCTTCAATTTGTGAAAAGCTCAATATCTGTGAAGTACAATAAAATGAGGTCTGCCCATGTGCTGATGATCAGCGTAAGTTGTTGACTGTGTACACAACAATGACACCTAGAAAAATCAAAGCTGAATGAGGAATCACACATAATTGCCACCGTTGCAAAAAAAAGCAGCCTGGCAGGGAGGCAGGGTTGAGAAGAGGGACTCAGTGTTTTTGTTTCAGATCTCTATCCAAAGACGTAAAGACAAAAGAGCCTTTAGTCAAAAACCTGGGTTATAAAGAACCTGAGCATGATTCAAAGATAATTCCAGCTAGCCTGGAAGATGTCTAAGTCTCACTCCTTACCATGAACCTCTTACAAATAGCTCTTCGTAGAGGAACTCATCTAGTTTACATGAAAAATCAAGCACAAGAACAAGCACAAAATCTTTACAAAATTTCTCCAATTTAAAAAGAGAGAGTGAAGAAGTAGGAAGAACAATAGAAGTGAAGATTCAACACAAGAAAAAAAATCTGGGGCTTCCCTGGTGGCGCAGTGGTTGAGAGTCCGCCTGCTGATGCAGGGGACACGGGTTTGTGCCCCAGTCCGGGAAGATCCCACATGCCGCGGAGCGGCTGGGCCTGTGAGCCATGGCCACTGAGCCTGCGTGTCTGGAGCCTGTGCTCTGCAACAGGAGAGGCCACAACAGTGAGAGGCCTGCATACCGCAAAAAAAAAAAAAAAAAAAAAAAAAAAAATCTGCTATAGAATAGATAAAATTTGTGTTCAAAGTATCAAAATTTATTTTGAATAATTGTATAAGACAAGAACTTGCTCAGGGAAGATAGGGCAAGACAACAACAGGACTTAAAACATGAGCTGGAGAGCTCAGGAAAGAATCAGGAAACAAAATGAAATCACCATAGGTATAAAACTTTTTAAGGGATATAGAAAACAAATCAAGAATAGTGGGAAAAGAAAATGGAAATGAGTAAAGGTTACCTAGAAAATTATATGAAACATGAAGTTCAATATATTCATAAATGGTATCCCTTCTGAAGAGACTGAAATAATGGAACAAAAAATATTTAAAGATGTTATTCAAGAAAACTTTCCAGGGAATTCCCTGGTGGTCCAGTGGTTAGGACTCAGAGCTTTCACTGCCAGGGGCCCAGGTTCAATCCCTGGTTGGGGAACTAAGATCCCACAAGTCACGCAGTGTGGCAAAAAAAAAAAAACAAGAAGAAGAAGAAAACTTTCCAGAAATGAAGAACTTAATCTACAGATTGAAGGGGGCACATCAGGTATCAGAAAATATATGGATGATCAATATCAAGACATTTCCTAGTAAAACTACTTAACTCCAAAGAAATAGTCCTTTGGTTTTCTCAAAAAAAAAAAAAAAAAATCAAGTTACATGTAATGGGAAAAATAAATATCAGCCTTTCATAGACTTCCATAGCCACATCCAATGATAGAGGATATGTTTATAAAGTCCCTGAAGAAATTAATTGTTATGTAAGAATTTCATAATAATAGATAATACTTATTGAGTTCATATAATGCATTAGACCCTGTTCCAGGTGCTTTACCATATTTATTCATTAATCCTCACATCAATTCTATGAAGTAAGTAATATCACTACTCCTATTTTGTAGTGGAGGAGACCAAGATTTGGAAAGGTTAAGAAACACACCCCAGGGCACACAGCATGAATGAATAAAACCCAAGCAGCCTGGCTCCAGAGCCCTGCCCTTAACCGTGGTACTGTAGTCCCTCCGTCAAAGTGTTACTCAAATAAAAGGCATCAGACAAACACTGAGAAGCTGTTACTGAAGGGGGAGGGATGGATGTTGAGCAGGCAAAAGTGAGAGATTTCCCCCACCATGTAAACATCTTTTCCATAAAGAGAGGAGAATGATAGTTGTTCAAAAACAAAATAGGATAATCAAATGACTGCTAAATCCAGAAATGTATCTTTTGTTTTTTAAGTTTCTTTTTTTTTCAAACCTCAAGGAACTTTTAAATGAACACACCCTCCTGGATCTTTACCTGGTGGACATAACCTTTATCTTCCTACCTTAGACCTGAAACAAGGGCGGGAACTTTCCCAACATTCTCCCAGACCTGGATCTTGCTTCTGCTACAACTGACATTGCAACACAATCTTGTCAGTTCATGTTAGAATTAAGAGTATTCCTGGGCTTCCCTGGTGGCGCAGTGGTTGAGAGTCCGCCTGCCGACGCACGGGACACGGGTTCGTGCCCCGGTCCGGGAAGATCCCACATGCCGCGGAGCGGCTGGGCCCGTGAGCCATGGCCGCTGAGCCTGCGCGTCCGGAGCCTGTGCTCCGGCAATGGGAGAGGCCGCAACAGTGAGAGGCCCGTGTACCGAAAAAAAAAAAAAAAGAGTCTATTCCTAACTTAGCGAAGTGCATTTGGCAATATGCACAGGTGCATTTATAAAATTGAGGACACTGAGAACAAGAAAAAAAAAAATGGGGATTCCCTGGTGGTCCAGTGGTCAGGACTCAGCACTTTCACTGCAGGGTCCCGGGTTCATTCCCTGGTCGGGGAAATAAGATCCCATAAGCCATGTGGCACAGCCAAAAAAATTAATAAAATTGAGGACACTGAAAGTAGTAAATACGTTTCCTCTTCTATGGGGAACCAGGCCTAAACAAAAATGGTACCTCCCCTGATTTTCTACCCAGAACAGGATCTACAACAGACACTGAAGTAGAATCTCATCAATTTATATTTAAACTTAATGCTATATTCCAAACAACTGAAGGAGGTACATTGGATGATAC